TCTCATGTGCGCATCCTGCAAGTCACACGCCTACATTGGAAATGACAAACTTCCACAGCCACATTTTAATAAAACTATAGCGCTTCATACAGAAATTTCATACTAAATCATTTTTTTTTTATTGAAATTGATGATGGTGTAAGGTCAATAATTACCGATACCAATTTTATCGCCCAGCTCTGAGTCAAACCCAAACAAATAGCCTGTTTTACTTACTTCCCTTATCTTCGTTTTTTAAGAATCCCTCCATCCACCCCATCTCCCCCTAATTCCCCCCATACTAGAGGAGCTCTCGAGACCCACCTGATCTCAGACCCCATTCTGTACTAACTAACCAAGAGGGAGCCCCAACCTCAAATATCTCCAAGCTCAGGGCTCTCTCCTGGGATAGCATGCCAAACCTGCAATCAGTATCAAGCATTAGGTAAGTGTGAACACTTAAATTGGGTTTAATGCCACTGATGTGGAGTAATCTGGTCCCCAACCTTGACAGAAGTTTGAAATTTTTCCCATAAGGCACCAGGGATTTGCTCGGAGAATGACAACAGAAGATTCAGACAGCTCCTACCAGGGAACAAAAACATGATAGGTCAGTTATACCATGTTCACTCACTTCATTTACTTATACACTGTTGTCTAAACAGTGAAAGCAAAAATTGACTCTTTTGTATACATAAACCTCAATTATGCACAATTATTAACCATAAAGAATGAAATGCTAAGCACTGATACGAACAGGAAAAATAAATTAATAACTGAAGCAAGCTTTACAAATGTAAAACTCCAATTGTTCTGCATACCAAGTTGCTTGAATAAATTCTGTATCTGAAATTAATATAGCAGGGGCTCTCAATCTCCGTCCTGGAGGTCCGGTGTTGTCCTGCAGCTTTTACCTCCAACCCCAATCAGAGGTACCTGTGTTAGCTTATCAAGCTCTTACTAGGCTTTCTAAAAACCTTGCAGGTGTGTTGAGACAAGTTAGAGTGAAAGCTCCAGGACCAAGTTTGAGAACCCTTGACATGCAGTAATGGTAATGGATGATTTAAAAAAATAATAATAATAATAATTTACCACTGATTTCTTCAATGTACAGGTAATATCAGTAAGCAAAACTTGCCAATAGCTCAGCACTTTTAATTTAATCAAATGACTTCTTTAACATTTAATGAAATGCCTTCTAATACCTTAATATTCAATATTATTTTGTGTGAGTAATTTACCCTGCAGGTTACAACATTAAAGAATTTAAATGTTAAATCAAAAATTTTACCGTCATAAAATCCTAATTCTCAAATATCTCACAACTGCAACACTCTCATATTAGTGTCCTAAGATCAGTACATGCCGCCATCTAGTGTGTAAAGTAATAAATGTAAAAATGACATTATGGCTGCTACACAAGGTTAAGAGTATGCATCCACAATTGAACAGCAGCATATTCATCAAGATGTCTTTCCATCACACTTTGGAATCTGTTTTCCCCATTTATTTTTCAGTACCAAGATGTAATCATTAGGCCTTTTATCTTAAGCCGGCTAGAAAAATTCTGTAAAAGGTATTTGGTTTTTGTCATCCTAGGCAAGGTAATGAAGAGAGAATTGCCTGACTGGTTCCAGCTAGTAGAAAGGCAAAAGTAACTCAAATAAGCACTCGTTACAACTGAGGTATGCAAAAGAGCTTCTCCGAACGCACAACACGTCAAATCTTGAGATGTATTGGCACAGACTCAGGATTGTGCACAGGTTCACCAAAATTGGACAATTTGAAAAACGTAGCGTGGTCTGATGAGTCTCCATTTTTGCTGTGACATTCGGATGGTCGGGTCAGAATTTGGCATCATCAACATAAAAGCATGGATCAATCCTGCCTTGTATCAACGGTTCAGGCTGTTGGTGTTGTAATGGTGTGGGGGATATTTTCTTGGCACACTTTGGGCTCATTAAAACCAATTGAGCATCATGTCAATCCCTTTATGATCACAGTGTCTCCATCTTCTGATGGCTACTTACAGCAGGAAAACGCGCCATGTCATAAAGCGCGAATCATCTCAAGATTTCTTGAACATGACAATGAGTTCACTGTACTCAAATGGCCTCCACAGTCACCAGAGCTTAATCCAATAGAGCACCATTGGGATGTGGTGGAACGGGAGATTGGCATCATGGATGTGCAGCTGACAAATTGATTTGCAGCTGACATGATGCTATCATGTCAATATGGAGCAAAATCTCTTGAGGAATACTTCCAGATTAAGGCCGTTCTGAAGGCAAAGCTGAGTCCAACCCATAACTAGTAAGGTGTACCTAATAAAGTGGCCGGTAGATGTAAATTAGACCACCATTCTCAATGCATGATTGCATCCACCAGGCACCGAGAAGACATTCTGTTGGAGGTCTAAAACTGGTTTGTGTTCTGTCAGTTTATTCTACTACGTCAGATTGTGCGACCTTAAGTAGGTAACAAATTTAATGATGCAATATGCTACACATCAGATTTTACTCCTAGTGTAAATTTAAATAGTGGAGTAGTGTGATATGAAGCTGTAATATCGCCCTAACCTACCTAATCCCTAACTCCACCCTCAGAACCATTCAAATACAGTGTTGGCAGCATATTCTGATGGGTAGGATAAAACGTCAGGACACCGATCTAAATCGATCTAGCCAAAAGAACAGACACCATAAGGGTTCAAAAGACACTTTTCTTTCAAAATTGGTGTTTGTATAAACATAAAGCCTAAAGGTGCACTTAAATAGGCTCATAGTGTGTATTTTAATAGATGCCTATGCTCACACATTAGCACAACCTTTAGAAATCGTCAATATCTATGCAGCAGTGCAAATTTATCACCATTCTGCAAATATTTGCGGTATCATTTCAAAAATAGGTCATCTTTGAGAATCGCATGTCTGTTGAAATAGTCCATCAGAGATTACTGTAGGTCAGAATCCAATAACAATGAAACCACTGAAATTGAATTAAATATACATGGTTTAACCAGGCATGCGTATGTATTATACAAACAACTGAAGAAAAAAAAGATCCCCGTGATTGCCAATGTATAATCTGCACAATGTTATGCACACAGACACCCCGCAAGCAGGTTTTGATGACCAAGAAATTAGAAATTCAGTAAACAATGAAAAAAAAAAATTATTATTATAGTCTAAAATCAAATCAAATCGAGTCTAAAAACAACTATCACCAGACTATTGGCACCTTTCGCAGGTTAGTAAGTTGAATAACTATTATTACAACTACCATTATGATGATCTGTAGAAAACTTACTTTTTTTTTTTTTTTTCAAAATAATACAAAGTGATTGCTTAATTAAATAAGAGTATTGAATGTGTTCTTGAACATTACCAGCGCATCCAAACCCATAATGCTTGATATAGGGAGAATGCGGTTAAAAACATACCACGATAACTTGTTCAGCACATCTGTGACATGTTCACATTCAGGACTTAGGAACGGACTGGCCTCAGCGCAGCACATTATAGCTGCTGTGTACAGCTCCAATAGAGGAAGCAGGTCTTCATCTGGTCTCCACTGACATCCATGATGCATCAAAATCTGATGAAGAAAAAAAACAAATAAATAAATAAAAAAGGTCAATAATGAGCATTTCAGCCTTCTATTGTCACTGGTATAACTAGATGATTGGTTTTGCACACAAATACTACCGACAAAGATATGTTATTATTATGAAATAAGAGAAAAATCATTAAATTAATATGCTTGTATTATTGCTGATGAGGTGGAGGCCATGTTGTAATCAATAATGAGAAGATGTAGCATAATTCAACGAATTTACTGACTGACTGGAGGATTTATTTCTAAGTTAATACATTTATAATACATGCATAAGCTTATTTCATAGCAGTTTTCTTTAACAAAAAAAGACTTAACTTTAGATTTTAGTTTCTATGTTTTTAAATTATGAAAACACACATGCATGCTAATATATATATATATATATATATATATATATATATATATATATATATATATATATATATATATATATATATATATATATAATGTTTTGGGTGGAAAGTAAGGGCTACTGCTGCTACAATAAGCTAATGTGTTAGCCATCAGGAGCTGTGACCATGCCATCCATACTAACCTAATGAGCATAAGCTTTAAAAACTGTTAAACAATCACGCTCCCTCTTTCCAGCGCACAGATTTTAGGTTTTCCCCCATCATATTGATCAACAACTGCACGAGTATTGTTAGTTTTGTTATCGTTGGTGCAGCGATGCAAACATGCAGCATCGTCCGCGAACAAAGACTGACAGACTTAAGCGCATGAATAAAACCGTACTTGGCAGAAATCCTGACAAAAACTATTGGAGGCATCTAGCGTCGACTCGGAGCTCCTTTTTAATTCAGAGATGAGATCCTGGAATTTGTGTTTGAGGGCCACAGCCTCATTCGCGCTGCCCTCCTCCTCCGCCATCTTCGCTGCATTCACACACAGCAGCCCAAATATCTCAAACTACTACGGCCAAGGCCTGATCCAAATATTCATGACCCGTGCGTTCGCTGACCGAGCAACGTCAGCACTGGCTAATTAATATTCAAGAGAAAATTTGCGGTTTACCTACTACTAGACATATTTAATATGTGTGCCTGTGAAGCAGTCGCCATAGTAACTGTTATGAAGTACGTCAAAGCGGCATAATTAATATTCATGAGTCAATCTTTAGTCATAGTAGTGTTCGAAATTCGAAACTACCGTTTCGACTATGGCGCAGGGGGGTTAGGGGAGGGGGCGTCTGTCCTCAAAAACAGTCACGTCATTGACAAAAGTCTTTCTTTCCCTCTTACTTTCTTTCGACATCTCACAGAAAATATTTGGCTGACGGTTTAAAAAAAACATCGACAGAACTTTTCTTTATTTGAATAGAATTGTAACAACACAGAAGTAGCCTACATGCTGGGACAAACCTTCATAAGATGACGAATGTGTGAGGAAAAGAGAGTCGAAGCATGTCTTCAGCAATCTTTTATTTCATTTATAGATTTGAAGAATGTCACAGTAAAGGCAACAAAATAAATAAGCGATTTAATGATAGTAAAGGATGGCATATTACGCTCTTAAAGGGATAGTTCACCCAAAATTACAATTCTGTCATTATTTACTCACCCTTTACTTGTTCCATTCAAATCTGTTCAACTTTCTTTCCTCTTTGAAGAAAGCTGGAAACCACTGACTTCAGTTTTAGTGGTGTTTCCAGCTTTCTTTAAAATTGTTCATTCAACTGAAGAAAGAAACTCATAACCCTGCTGAAAAATCCAGCTTAAACCAGTCTAGGATGATTGACTGGTTTTAGCTGGTCGACCAGCCTGATTTTACAGGGGTTTTGGCCACTTCCAGGCTGGTTTCCAGCCATTTCCAGCCAGGTGTTAGCTGGACAAGCTGGGAGATGCTTGACCAGCCTAGCCAGCCTGGGAGCCCAGCCTAAATCAGCTATGTCCAGCTTAAACCAGGATGGTCAAGCTGGTTTTAGATGGTTTTAGCTGGTCACTTTCCAGCCTGACCAGCAAAGACCAGGCTGGAAATGACTGGAAACCAGTCTGGTAGTGCCTAAAACCCCTCTAAAACCAGCCAACCATCCTAGGCTGATTTAAGCTGGAATTTTCAGCAAGGAAAGGTTTAGAGCAGGGGTGTCCAAACTTAGTCCTGGAGGGCCGGTGTCCTGCAAAGTTTAGTTCCAATCGCAACCAGACACACCTGGGCTAGCTAATCAAGCTCTTAAGCTGTGGTCACACTTGACTTTTCTCCCCATAGACTTCCATTCATACGCACGTGAATGCGTCAGACCGGAAGCGCAAGGTTGTGCGTCAAGTTTTGCAGGTTGCTGCGGTGCAAAGTTCAAGCTTGGTGAACTCTGACCTGAGAAATCGCATCACTTGACTGCGTGAGACCAATCGAGTATCAAAACATGACCTCTCTGGACAGGAATTTAAAATATGGAGTAATTGCTTACTTTTTAAAATGTATAATAAGCTTGTTAAATCCCGCCTCTTTTCGCAGCGCCGCACGACAAAATATCGCATGCTCAAACTCTAATGTCACCGCAGCTTTACTAGACTTTCTAGAAACATCCTTGCAGGTGTGTTGAGGCAAGTTGGAGCTAAAATCTGCAGGACATCAGACCTCCAGGACTGAGTTTGGACACCCACTTGAATCTTAATTTTTAGGTGAACAATCCCTTTAAGGTCTATGAAAGTGACAGAATATGCAGTTTACAATAATTATGCCAACCATTTTAGAAACGAATTGGAAATGGCCACAGTTGAAATATGGAAAGCTACATAAAAATCATATTTCATGAGTCACTGTGATTTAAGAACAGGAAATGAGCATTTGAGAAATGTGAAGAGAGTGTGTTTTAAGACTTATGATAGTAACAGGTGCTGCAGTGGCAGTCTGTGTGGTTGTATAGTGGGATATTCGTGGCAACCTATAACACAAACACACAAACAACATGTGTTATATACAATAAATGACAATAACGTCCTTAAATATCGTAACAATAAAATGTCGTAATGTGGACTTTACCATTTTAGATTCTTTTGCTACACAGCAAGTGGCTTCTGATGTGATGTTTTTTGGGACAAGCATGGTTTTCTTGGACCTCAGGGGTGTGGGGTAAGCTCTCGAAAAGCAGCAGCCCACGCACTGATAGACCGGAGCCCCGGGTTTGGAGAAACGTTCGTTCATCTTGAGTTTGCACTCTTCACATCCATCTTTGACACACATATAAACATAAATAAACCATACAGTTGAAGACAGAATTATTAGCCCCCCTTTGAATTATTTTTTCTTTTTTTAATTTCTCCCAAATGACGCTTAACAGATTCAGGAAATTTGCACGGTTTGTTTGATCATAGTTTTTCTTCTGGAGAAAGTCTTATTTGTTTTATTTCGGCTAGAATAAAAGCATTCCTTTTATTTTTTTAAAACCATTTTAAGGTCAAAATTATTAGCCACTTTAAGCTATTTTTTTTTTCGATAGTCTACAGAACAAAGCATAGTTATACAATAACTTGCCTAACTATCCTAACCTGCCTAGTTAACCTAGCTAACCAAATTAACCTAGTTAAGCCTTTAAATGTCACTTTAAGCTGTATAGAAGTGTCTTTTTCCCCTTCATTTTTATGCTAATATATATATATATATATATATATATAAATATATATATATATATATATATATATATATATATATATACACACACACACTTCAACAAACCAAATACATTGCCTAAAGAAGGATAGTGTAAAAAATGTAATAATAAAAACAAAAATAATAGAAAAAAGTAGCTAAATTCTTCAAAAAATTAAAGAAGGAAAATAAATAAATAAATAAAATAATAATAAATACATAGATAAATAGAGTGACAGCAGTAATGGGTGATACGATGAGGGATAATGCTGTGGTATCTTGCAATGGTAGGTAAACATAGAGGAAGCTTGAGATTCTGAACAGAGAAAGAAAAGACAAAATGATGATTACAGAAAAAAGATTTGTTACATACAAGACAGTCACATTATTCCCCAGGAAGTACATTTATAGCAGAGAAATATGAAAGTAAAGGTTGCCAAACATGTGAGAATTTGCTAGAAACGCTACTTGAATATTTGTATTTTTCTAAGTGTAAATATAACATCAGATCTTGAAGCCAGAGTGATGCTTTATTTAAAGATTTTATAGAAGTGTCTTGAAAAATATTTAGTCAAATATTATTTACTGTCATCATGGCGAAGATAAAACAAATCAGTTATTAGAAATGAGTTATTAAAACTATTATGTTTAGAAATGTGTTGAAAAAATCTGCTCTCCGTTAATAAACAGAATAAACAGGGGGGCTAATAATTTAGTTAGGCTAATATATCTGACTTTAACTATACAGTTGAAGTCTGATTTATTAGCCCCCTTGTTTATTTTTTTCCCTAATTTCTGTTTAATGGAGGGAAGATTGTTTCAGCACATTTTTAAGCATAATAGTTTTAAACACCTATTTCTAATAACTGATTTATTTTATCTTTGTCATGATGACAGTAAATAATATTTTACTTGATATTTTTCAAGACACTTCTATACAGCTTAAAGTGACATTTAAAGGCTTAAGTAGGTGAATAAGGTGAACTAGGCAGGTTAGGATAATTAGGCAAGTTATTGTATAATGATGGTTTGTTCTGTAGACTATCAGGAAAAAATAAATTGGCTTAAAGGGGCTAATAATTTTGTCCCAAAAATGTTTTTAAAAAAATTAAAAACAGATTTTTTTCTAGCCGAAATAAAACAAATAAGACTTTCTCCAGAAGAAAGAAATACTATCAGACATACTGTGAAAATTTCCTTGCTCTGTTAAACATAATTTGGGAAATATTTAAGATAGAAAAAAAAAAAATCAAAAGGGGGCTAATAATTCTGACTTCAACTGTATATATATATATATATATATATATATATATATATATATATGTATATATATATATATATATATATATATATATATATATATATATATATATATATTTTTTTTTTTTTTTTTTTTTTTTTTTTTTAAGAACAAAACTTGTTAAAGGGATAGTTCAAAAACAAATGGCCATTATTCAAACTCATACTTTTTTCTTTTTGACTTCCATTGTAGGAAAAACAAATACTATGAAAGTCAATGGTGACGATATTTCAGCTTTCTTCACAATGTCTTCTTTGTGCTCAACAGACTAAAGCTTTAGGGCCACATGACGGTCAGTAAATGTTTATTTTTCTACACTGGAAAAAAACAACAAGATTTTAGAAAAATTGTTGCAATCACTTATCTTAGAAAAAACTTCCCATGAACCATTTTCTTTTCAGTGTGGGTTAACTATCCCTTTAAGTATTAGACCAGAATATCAACTCACAGTTAGACACATCGTTTCTTGAATACAGTTGTCCGACATGAAGAATCATTAACAACAAGAAAATGCTTGCTTCAGCGTATCTTGTCCAAAACATGATGGCTATAATAGAAGAAGAAAAGCTCTTTAGTGAACTGCACTTATAGTTTATTTAAAATACATCAACATTATTATGCGACTCTGAATTAGCTTTTTTATATTAAGCATTTCTAAAAGCTAAACCTACCTTTGTTCTCGACTTCCGGCGGAGCGTGATGAGTGTCTTCTCCCACACAAGTAAAGCTACCTTTTATACCTTGCTCATACCTGCCCCATGTTTGAACGTTTGTGTGTGTGTGTGAGAGAGAGAGAGAGATTCTTCCCTTGCTGACCTTCTAATCCATTAGGAAAATGTACAAAAATGACTGAATATGCACTGCGGGATTATTAAATAATTGTTTTGTCTTTGAGATTGCTGATTTCATAAGGTTGATTATAAAAACACGCCTCAAGCTGCTAGAAAACCTTTGTTCGATTTTCAACCTGTTGCATGATTTCGGGTCAGATGAATTCATCGGCAATTATTGTATTTCATCTGTTCTCTAAACACAGAGTATCAAGTGTCAAGGATGAACGTTAGCTTGCCTTCACTATCTCTCAATCTTTCCATCTGCGCAAATCCACAAGACCTCGCTTCATATAATGAGCTTTCATGCGCCATGCAAATGTAACTTTATATTTTCAGTGCCAGATGGAGAGGAGCGTGTCGTATTAATAACAAAGTAAAACTATTGAAGAGGACAACGGCAACTGAAGGAATTATGATGTTTTTCTAACTTTGTTTTCTGCATTAATAGTTTAATCCCGTTTTAAAGTTTAATCCTGGCCTCCTCACTGGCCTTCCCAAAAAGACAGTCAGACAGTTGCAGCTCATCCAGAACGCTGCGGCCAGGATTTTGACTAGAACCAGGAAATCAGAGCACATCACACCTGTCCTCAGGTCTCTACACTGGCTCCCAGTTACATTCAGAATAGAGTTTAAAGTATTATTACTGGTCTATAAATCACTAAATGGCCTAGGAGCTCAATACATTACAGATATGCTGATTGAATACAAACACAACAGATCACTCAGATCTTTAGGATCATATAAACTAGAAGTTCCAAGAGTTCAGTCAAAGCAGGGTGAATCAGCTTTCAGCTACTACGCTCCTCGCTGTTGGAATCAGCTTCCAGAAATGATCAGATGTGCTCCAACATCAGGCATGTTCAAATCAAGACTGAAAACACATCTGTTTAGCTGTGCCTTTACTGTATGAGCACTGTGCTGCATCCGACAGAGCGCACTATTGTGGTTTTTTTTCTTCTTTTTCGTTATCTTATAACATTTTAACACATTTTTATCTGTTTTATCTATTTTTTATTCTTATTCTTATAATTTTTATTTTTATTATTTCTTTTCATTTTCTTACACTTGTTTCTTTTATTCTTTTATATTACTTCTTTATGTAAAGCACTTTGAATTGACACTGTGTATGAAATGTGCTATATAAATAAACTTGCCTTGCCTTTTAATCAAATACATGAACTTATTTTTGTGTGCTTAAGCGCATATAACCTTGCTTCATAATAGCTGTGGCTCCTCAAGACTGAAAACCAGGGCGCAGTGATAGAAGGGAGAAGTTAAATTCTGAGAACTTGCTTTCAGCAGGATGTTACAACTCTTAATTTCAGAGTGTGCTAGTTTTTTTAAGCAGGGATGTAGAAGAAACACTGATGGGAGGGGTGCAGGCTCACTCTCTTGTGTGCGTAACTTTTTCCGTGCAGAGTAGATGTTCTGCTTGAGATCTGGATGGAGGATCTTCCTTACTGAAGCGCCCCAGGCAGAGTATCACTGCATCAAAAATCAGTTCTAGGATATTTAAACTTTTCTTGTGATAGTTTTCTAGTAATTAACACATGTTAGAAATGTAGAATTACTTCAATGCACAGCCAGTTTATTTAACTTTTTACATAATCATTTGGCAAGTACTGTACTTGCACAATGAGTGGCATGGTAGCTCCGTGGTTAGCAATGTTGCCTCACAGCAAGAAGTTCACTGGTTCTAATTTCCTGATGAACAAATGATCATTAATAATGAAGTGTGGTCAAAATCGTTATGTGCAAACACATGTCGTATTCTTATGGCCCATATGGTCATGCAGACGTCACTAAAACCCGACAGGTGGACAAATCTAAACTTGTTTTTATTAAAACAAATATAATTATGCATATACTAAATAATAACATTATACAAACTCTCATAAATAAACTGAAAAAGCCCTCTGAAATGAAGAAGGCATGGAGGCAGTGGTTTTTATATTTATATAGAAAATATTTTTGCAACATTTTAATCCTTTAATTTTTTTCATATGTAAAGATATTTGTGTGTGTATATCCTCACAATCTCACGGCAATTCGTAACTTTTTAATTTAGTGGCTAATTCGTATGAATTCGTACAATCTAATTCGTACAATTTAGTACGATTTGCTCATCCCCCAATGACGGTTGGGGTTAGGGGTGGGGTGCCACGCCTCCTTTTTAAAATCGTACCATTTCGTATGACTGAACTTGTACGAATTCGTATGAATTAGCCACTAAACTGGCAAAACGTAAAGTAGTTAAGTTTTCTCGTGAGATCAGGCTGGTATATCTGTATGTCTTAAGCAATGAGTAGACATTTTGGACAACACAATCTCACGGCAATTCGTAACCTTTTTTGTGGCTAATTCGTATGAATTCGTACAATCTAATTCATACAATTTAGTACGATTTGCTCATCACCCAATGACGGTTGGGGTTAGGGGTGGGGTTAGGTGCCACGCCTCCTTTTAAAAATCATACCATTTCGTATGACTGAACTTGTACGAATTCATACAAATTATCTAATAAACTGGCAAAACGTAAAATGCTTACGTTTTCTAGTGAGATCAGGCTGTTTTGGACCTGCATAGGCTCATAACTAGGGCCAGATTGAATCTGTGGATGTTTTCTGCTATTTCTGCGGAGAATTTTGGCAAAAATCTGCGGATTTCAGCGGAATTATTTTGGCAGTATCATAACTAAAACCTTAATATGTGAAATAAAAAATAATATCTTTTAAACTTTTATTTAATGTTTAAAATGCAAATCCAATTAGATTCACTTGATTTGGTAAACAAAGCAAGTGTCTCATAATATATCTACTAAAAGAAAGAAAATAATAATGTACAAAATGCACTGTACATAAATCAGATGAACATTTTCATATTAGTCAATAATATTACTGTAATTAATTTAAAAACTAAATAAATATAGATATTACTCACATTTACTCGAGGAAATAAACAGAATTAATGATGGGCTAAAAATCTGTGGAATTCTGCGCGCGCAGATTCGTGTGGGTCTACTCACAACTAAGGCGATCTGCACTAGATTTTAGACCAGCTTTCAGTTGGTCAATGGCATGGTCTAATTCAGTTCCTCCAAATAGCAACAAACCAACAATGTGCCTTAACACACCTCCTTTATAGACTAGCACACCCATGAATCCATAAAGTGGCGCAAATTGATTTGCTATTTAAACAACGTGGTGCAAAATGTGAAAATTAGGGTTGCGCTGGTCTGAAAATAGCAACAAATCATGCCAACTACGTCTTGCCTTATTGCGGCAGCTGTATGATAGGGCCCAATTTAGTTTATTAGTGATGGGTTGCAGCTGGAAGGGCATTCGCTGCGTAAAACATATGTTGAATAAGTTGGCGGTTCATCCCGCTGTGGTGACCCCAGAATAATAAAGGGACTAAGCCGAAAAGAAAATGATTAAATGAATGAGTTTGTTTGGTGGGTCGGCCCTTGCCCGGTAACACTTTACAATAAGGTTCATTAGTTAATGCATTTACTAACATGAACTAATTATGAACAACACATGTACAGCATTTACTAATCATAATTGAACATTTACTAATGCATTATTAACATTCAAGTCTGGGCTTGTTAACATTTGTTAATGCAACATGAGTTAACATGAACTAACAATGAACTACTGTATTTTCATTAACTAACATTTATTAACATGTATAAATACTGTAGTAAATGTATTGTTCAATGTTTGTTGATGTTAGTAAATGCATTAATTAACATTGACTAATGTACCTTATTGTAAAGTGTGACCCCTTGCCTTTCAGCTACCAATCTGAGCATGAGTGAACTGAAGTGACAAAAGAAACCAAATACGCAAGTCAATAGGACACACAAATAAGCTGTCTGTCATTCTGCCACATTTTTTAAAATATTTGCAACCCATATAGATTATCAGATATATTTGCATGAGCGAATCCCTCTGTGGTGAGTGTGAAGTACTGAGGAAATGGTATGTAAATGCGTGCTTTGTTTACAGCACTTGTTCGGTTTTCCCCTTTGTGGAATGACAATACGGATTTCTCCCACGGCTTGCATGGAAAGAAAGAGCCTCTAATGCAGGCACAACATAGATACTCCGGCCACTGTATAAGGTACACCTTACACTTGGTTGGACCCCCTTTTGGCTTAGATTTAACAAGGTACTGGAAATATTCCTCAGAGATGTTGCTCCATATAGACATGATAGCATCACGCAGTTGCTGCAGATTTGTCTGCTGCCTATCCATGATGCCAATCTCCCATTCCACCACATCCCAAAGGTGCTCTGTTGGATTGAGTTCTGATGACTGTGGAAGACATTTGAGTACAGTAAACTCATCGTCATGTTCAAAGAAACCAGTGTGAGATGATTTATGACATGGTGCGTTATCCTGCTGGAAGTAGCCATCAGAAGATGGGTACATTATGGTTATAAGGGATTCAGCAACAATACTCAGGTAGGCTGTGGTGTTACAACACAATCTCACGGCAATTCGTAACTTTTTCATTTAGTTTTTTCGAATTCGTACGATCTAATTCGTACATTTCAGTACGATTTGCTCATCCCCCAATGACGGTTGGGTTTAGGGGTGGGGTAAGGTGCCACGCCTCCTTTTTAAAATCATACAATTTCTTACGACTGAACTCGTACGAATTCGTACGAATTAGCCACTAAACAGCCAAAACGTAAAATACTTACGTTTTCTCGTGAGATCAGGCTGGGTGTTAACACAATGAAGAATGTTTTGGGTGAAAAGTAGAGGCTACTGCAGCTATGATGAGCTAATGCGTTAGCCATCAGGAGGAGAGCTTAGATCGGTCTCAATGAATTAAGCCTGACCCTACCCAAGCTTGTGCACCTTGTGTCCGAGCCCGATTAGGTCTGACACATTAACTGTAATATGAACCTGAGCCCAAATTAAACACAACTGTTTTTTTAATACACGTGGGCCATTAAACAGACATTCCCAATCTCAGAACTACAATTCTGATTTGTTTGATTCACATGAAAGATTTATCTTAATGAATAACGTAACAAGGACAAAGCATGGAAACTGCATTAATATTGATAATTCCTTGCATTTATAAAGTGCTTTTCTAGACGCTCAAAGCACTTCACACATTGGGAATCCACCTGGATGTTGCGACGGCAGCCATATTGCGCCAGACCGCACACCAGCTGATTAGTGGAGAGGAGACAGAGGCTGTTTCTCAATATGCATTCTTCAGCAGTCCTGCGTTCTCGTGTAACATCATCATCGGCTGCCAAAGTTCAGTTCCAATACTCAAGACCTCAAGAACGGAGGAGGCGTGAAACTTCTTGGATGTGTTCTTAGTATCGAGGACGCACTGATGCAGACTTAAGCACCGTCCCAGTCCCTTACGTCTATAATGTACGCGCGAGTGTGTGTGTGTGACACATGATGTAATGGAGTTATAGTATTGCATCTGCACTGATTACGCTGTGTACTTCATGAACGAACAGCACAACAGACCTAAATCGCATCCTACAGGCGGCAGTTTGCAGCAACAGATATCAGTCTGTCGCAATTATGCAACAAATGCATGAGCATTTTAGCTGGTGGTAAAATAGTACAGCTGTTGGAGCCAATTATGTTATTCGGGCTGCTATTTTCT